GTCCCTACTCACAGCAGGGGGGTTGGAACTTTAAGGTCCCTTCCAACCCAGACCATTCTATGATTCTATGATATTAATTAGTTTTTCTTCAGTTGTATTTATCAGCTTGGCTTTTCTGTTTGCAAAAGGAATTATTCATAATGTCTTGTTTAAAAGCAGTGTAAATATTTTAGGACGTAAACTGTGTGAGGTAGAAACTGATGTCTGTTTTCTTTGATCTGAGGGTGTGTACCTAACCTACTAATGTATTAAATGTTTTTCTTGCCCTAATGAAGTATGTATTGCTTTTAAGGATAGCATTTTAAGTTTTGAAAGATGTAGTTAGCGTCACTTTTATAATTCTGTTTATTCTAGACCTGTTGCAATATACTGTGAATAGACTGTTAATAAATATTTGATCTTGCCAGTGGGGCTTTTTAGTATGGGATCTACGGGCGGGTATGTAGGTATCTCTGCGCATAACAAGTTACTTTTAATCTAGGATTGTTTAGTATGTATATCAAGAGGCTGGTAAAGTTGAAAATCATACTGAATTTTTAGTGAATGGAAGAACTGGGACTGATCTAAGTGTGGGCAAACTAAACCCACACACTCCTCATTCATGTGAAACCTGGATGATTTTTCTTTCTGAGGCAGTGGGATAGTTTTTCTTAAAATATCCCAGGAAAATTTTAATTCCAAATTAAAAAAAAAATAATTCTGTATTATATCATACTCCTGATGGCTACAGCCCACTACTTGCTACTTAATTGCGTTAAATTGTTTTTCTTGATTAAATAATTTGGTATTGTGCTGGGTTTGTGTGGGGGGAAGAGGCCATTTTTGGTGCTCCCCTGGCTCTAAGACGTATCCCCACAGCCCAGGCTGAGCCAATGAGCAATGGAGAAACGCCTCTGGGAATCCATATTTGTGAGGGGAAGGACTGTCTTGAAAAGAAGAAAGTGGAGAGAACTTGGAGGAGAGGCCGTTGACCTGAACAAAAGATGACTATTGGTGTAAACAAAGAGACAGCTGCATTGCCAGGAGGAAGGAGGAGAAGAGGGAGGACAAAGAACCTCAGACACCCAGTTCAACCCAATGGAGTAGGAGAAGGCAAAGGAGGTCCCTGCAGCCCATGGAGGTTCAGTGGCAAAGCAGATACCCACATGTAGGCCATGGAGGACTCCACGCTGGAGCAGAAAAGCTGAGCCTGAGGGCAAGTGTGACTGAGTTGAGACCTCGAGAGATGCTCAATGCCAGAGCGGGGGTGGACCTCCAGAGCTGGGAAGTGAAGAGGTGCGCTGGACTGGAGGTCTATCTGCAACCCATGGACATCCCCATGCCGGAGCCGGGAGCTGAGCCCAAAGAGGTCCATGACTCCATGGGAAGCTGCTTTGAAACACTTTGTTCCTGGACTTTCATGCTGGGAAGAGCAGCAGAGGTGAACTGACTGAACCCCCATTCCCTGACCCCTGTGCCGCTGCAGGGGAGAAGGTAGAGAAATCAGGAGCAAAGTGATTTGAGCCCAGGAAGAAGGGGGGTGGTGGGGGAAGATGTTGTAAGATGTGGTTGTTATGTCTCACTGTGCTACTCAGATCATTTGCAGTGAATTAAATTGATTTTTCTTCTCCAAGTTGAGAGAAACTGTTTTGCCCGTGACCATCACTGGTGAGTGAGCTGTCCCAATCCCCACCCTAATTCGAGCCTGCTTTGTTGTAACTCCCTTCCGATCTCACTGGGTGGGGGGAGTGAGCCTCTGTGGTTAAACCACTACAAGACAATTATTGTTTAATTTTGTTGGATTTTTATAAGCACTTTTGTACCAATTAGCTACCTGATATAATATTGTTTCTGGATTATTAATATTAATGAAAACAGAAAATAAACTATTGTTAAAACAATAAAAACCCTAAACCTTTTTTTTTTTTTAATTTAAAAAGCAGTTAGTGTGATTTAATGTAGCTTGTGACATACAAGGTAATCTGTAATTTGAAAGTTGGATGTTTTAAAATATTAAATGGTTTATATCTAGCACAATTCTTAATTAAAGGTTAAATTGCAAGTGTTCTGTGTGGCAAAAATAGGTATCCCTTTCAGACTGAAGCATAATTTCTAAGACTTTAGAATTTATTATATTAAAGCTTTTTTTGCAAAATTATTTATTTGGAAAAGAGAGGAAAAGCATGTTCTAAACTTTTCCTGTAGCGTGCCTCACTGTTTCACCTAAATCCAGTCCTAGTCATGATTTTCCATTTGATGTATGAATGTTTTCATTCTAACTGGATTTTGAATGTATAATATGGTCTGCTGTAGGGGTTGCACATTAGTCTTGTGAAGTGTGTGATTTCATTACCATGAATGTTTCCTAAGTTATATGGAGGAGTTCAAGACTGTAAAGTTCATATGTAAAGTGTTAAAGGATTAGTTGAGTTCCTGCTGGCATTCACCATCCTTTTTGACTGCAAAGAATATCTGGCAGACTTTGTCAGGTGTATTGGCAAATCAGTTCTCATTAGCGTACCCTTGTACATCTTAAAAAATGAGGGTAAAAGAAAAATTCCAACTCTGACCTGAAAAAATAACATGAGATTAAATTTATAATACTGATATAAGGTGATTCTTATCTGTATTTTTCTTACATTTGCTGAGGATCAATTTTAACAGGAGACATAAAGACTTCCTGTTCCTTTTTCACTCAGATGTGTTTTAATGTGTATATTTGAAAATTAATTGCCTTTTCCAGTTCCTTTGAAAACAGCAGCAGTGGGATTTGTGGTGCTGACTTTTGAATGTATGGAAGTACATTCAGTGGAAATTATGTTTGATGTATAATTTGCCAAATTTCTATGCTTATATAGACAAAAATTAACTTTGAACTAACAAAAAAGCTTAACAGATTCATTTTCTTTTTATAGGACTTCCAGATTTTACAGTGGTGTTTGAACTAATAATCCTATGCTTTATTTATGTGAATAAATATTTTGGCTAATGACAATAGAATTTGTAAGTTAAGTTAGTACTGCACACTTCAAAAAACCAAAACCCCCCCAAACCCCCCAGCCCCTCTATATGCTTGCGTAGAATAAATATTACCAGAAAACCAGTCTGAATGAAGGTGTGATAATAATTATGTAATATTCACTGGAAATAACTGGAGACTAAACTGCTTAAAAGGTAGTTTATTCAATAGAGAATTGTTTATAGTTTTTAATTGAAAAGCTTTTTTTTCCCATTTTCCTTCCAGGTATTGCTTTGTTTTTGCTTTGGGATACCTCACTGTGTGCCAAATTACTAGAGTCTATATCTTTGATTATGGACAGTATTCTGCTGATTTTTCTGGGTAAGGAGAAAAATAATCTTTCCATCTTGTTCTCCTGAGTGATACTGTATCTGTTACTGTTTTTTTTTTTTTCCAAGCTAGGTGTGCCAGCCTTTTCAACTCAGGGAGAAAGCTGGGCGTGTGTGTGCCTAATGCCACACATACAAATATATATGTACCTGTGCTTTAATCATGCAAAATGAGAATTTTGGGAACAGTTGTGTTTGTTAGGACCATGAGTGCATTATCTCCTGACTCTTGTTCCTGTCTGAAGGGTAGAAAGGATCTGGTGACTGTGGGATTTTTTGGCTTTTGTTTTTTCCCCCTAAAATCTTTGTTACTACTTATGATGGATCTTGAATTGTATCTGATGTATTTGCATGCCTGGCACAGTGTTATACCACTTTGTGAGGAAAATCTGAATGTTCTGTGGAATTTAGCTTTTAGCTTCTTTCTTTTTTGGTTTCATGTTAGGTGTTCCAGAAGGAGAAGGTTAAGGAGAGAGGCACCTCTATGGTGGAATAGTCACACAGCCTTTAGAAGTAGAATTGTAGAATACCAAGTTGGAAAGGATCTCAAGGATCACCTGGTCCAGCCTTTCTTGGTGAAAGCACAGTATAGACAAGACGACCCAGGACCCTGTCCAGCCAAATCTTACAAGTGTCCAATGTTGGGGAATCTACCACTTCCCTGGGGACATTATTCCAAAAATAAAATAGAAAGTTTTATCTATATATATTCTCATTTTAGATAATCAACTTAAACTTATATTTTGCTTGAGCTCTATAGGAGCAAAACAGAATTAAATAGGCAAAGTAAAAATAAACCGTATTGATGATTCTTCTTTGTACTGCACACAGAGAGGTGAAGCACAACGTTTCCTATAAATAAGTTTGCTACTGATGGTGCTTTTGTTGATTTAAAGGAGAGTATGTATTTTGGACAAAAGAGATGGGTGTTTGCTAGTCTGCTTAAAAAAAATAAATACATTAAATACTTTTCCAGAAGACTATGAATGGAAGTGGTCTTTGTAGTTTAGCATTATCTGTGTTGAGTAGTAGAGTTGTGCTTGTTGATAAAAGGCCTGTAGCCAGAAACTTAATCTATAGGCTGGAGCCAAAAGCTTTTATGGTTAATTTCATCCTTTCTGTAGTTTTTAGCTGGGTCTTACCTTCTGAAACATCTTTATACATTTGTGCCTGCATCCAGTTGTCTGCCTTCAAGCCAGATATCCAAGTTCTGATTGTAGTCAGTGGAGATCTGATTGAGGTAGACAGTAGAGCCTGGAGGACAGTTCAGCTGACCCACCAGTAGGTATCTACCTTAGTGTGAACTGGGTCTCTTGCCAGATGCCCCTGGCTCTGTTGACTAGATCTCCACTGGCTATAATGAGAGCTTGCCACACAGACGTATGCATAAATGCACTTTAAAACTAGGTTTACTGATGTTGAATTAAATTTCTCCATTACAAGTAGAACTATAGTCCAAATGCTGTCCCTTCCAGTTCACTGTAGGGCCAAAGTGTACAACCATGGATGGCAGTGATGAAAGCTCTGAGCTGACTCTGGAAACAGTATAATTGCACTTGTTTGTTGCTGCTCTCAAACTATTAATAGAGCTCGAGCACACCATTGCTCCAATGTGACTGTAGTGCTTTCAGACACTGCAGCTGTCTTTGTGGCTCTATTGGTTTTGGTGTTAGCTCAGAGATTTCTGCTAGGTCTAAACACGTCCAAAGATTGATGAGATCTGTGCTCTGGATAGAACTGTTCTGAAGCCTAGATCCAACTCTCTGATTGTATGTTTGAGTTGCCTGATTTAAACCATCCCTTCATGCCCCAGTTTGGGAGCTTGATGTATGTGTATCACATTAAATCTCTGGCATATACTGCATCTGCTCCCTTGAGGCCTGAGACAGAGGTGACTTCCAAAACAGGAGGAGAAAGAAAATGAACTGAATGGGGTTATTTTCTGTCAATTTTCTCTAGCTCAAGGAGAAGAGAGTAAGTTCAAGAAAATAACAAAAGTTACCTAACCAGCTGTTGAACCCCAGCACCAGCAAATTCTTCCAAAGGTGCTGGCATGGATTCATACAGTGGTTAGCCCCAAAAGAGCTTTGAGTGTCTGTTTACCTAGATATTTCTCCTAGCATGCCATGCCCATCTTGAAGTGTCCAAGCCCAGAGAATCTTCAAAAACTCTGAAAGAAAGTATTAATGCAGTGACTGTGGAGAAAGCTGAGGAGACCTCATGCTGGAGGTGCAATTGCTTGTGCAGAGCTGTGTGCTCCTGTCTCAGTACTTCCCAGCTGCCAGTGAGCTCCCACTGCCTCCTTTGCCTTTCTACCAGCACCTAAAAGGGATTCTTAAAATCCTGGTTCATATCCTCACTGTTCTGGGAAGGACTGTCTTAGTCTCTAGATTGTTGCTTCTCAGCCACATCTAGGAAGATACTGGAATAGCCACTTGAGAAGTGAAGAAGTACTGGGGCCTGCTGTGGTGACAATGACGAATGTATCAGCTGGAATTAATGTATGGTCTGACTGAGCTCCTCCTGGGCTCCGTCCTTCTGCCAGGCAGGATCCGTGCTGTCACATGGCCACTTCCAGAAGGAAAACCCATTATGTTCGGAATCAGTTGGGGATTTCTGCCAGTACCAGGCAGGGTGTACAGCTTAAATGCTAGAAAAAGACATGAGGGATTCCCCGGACTGTTCTTGTTTAGTTTTCTTCCTTGCTGACCCTTGCTTGTCACTCTAGACTTGAGATCAGGATTCTGGGGCACTGATAATACCGTAGAAAAAAACTTTTTCCCTGATTACGTTTTGAGGACTGGAAATGTTGTGGGCTTTGAAATAACCATAACCTAAAAATATTAATTTGACAGACTGAGCCATCTGGCAAAATACTGGCATAGCCCTGTCAATGAAGGAGGACTTGATGGCTCTTGGATTTGTTTTTCTGTACCAACTTAAATATGTTATAAAAAGGCCAAGTGCAGTCAAAAGACTTGGATAAAACTATAAAACTATGTGCCCATCCTACAGTATGATTGTTTTGTTGTGGTTTTTGTTTTGTTTTGTTTTTAATCTCCAGCTCAGATACTAGTGGGTAAATACAGTCCCTGATAAATTTTTGAGATCCAATTTCAAATTTCAACTTCTAAATTCTGGTAGCCTGCTTTATGCTTTCTCCTGTCCTCTCCCTCCCCCCAGTTAGGGGGTCAGCAATGCTGCGATTTACATCAGTCAAAAACTCTTAGGTGCTACAAAGATGGTACAATTTCTCAGTATAAATCGGACGTGCTTAGCCAGGGGAGAATATCTTTTGGACAGTTTAAGATCTGCTCAAGCATACCAAATTCAAAACAAACTAAACTTTTTTGGCCCAGCATAATTATGCTGAGTTTTTGTTTTGCCAGATATGTTTACTTGAAGCAAACAATAATTCTAGATGGAAAAATTAAGCATAGGACCAGGTGTTCGTAGAAACAGTGGAAGTGGTCTGCATATCTAAATAAATTATAGTACTGTTCAACCTTGGTATATTTTTATTGTCCATTGCTTACTACTGCTGTAATTTACAATGCATGTAATTGCTCTTACTGACCTTTTTTCTTTACTCTTCCCACTGTAAAAAAAAAAAGAAAAATAAACCATGTTAGTAGAAAATAAATGTGGAACACTTTGGCTGTTTTTGTGGAAGCTAATGAAAGGCATGGCTTATCAAATACTGTTTCTAAGAATTAAATTATTTTCATTGCATTGAATGAATTATTTGAACTCCTAAAACTAATCACTTTGTCCTTGCATTGAAAAATCTTCCAGTTGAGAGTAATTAATCTAGACTATTAGTATAAACTTTCCCCCATGTTTGCATATGAAAGAAAATCCTGAACTGTTTTCTAAATTATTCTTTCTTCCTTTTTTGTAACAGTCCAATGATGATAATTACACAGAAGATCACTAGTTTGGCATTTGAGATTCATGATGGTAAGATTTCTTTAAACTTTGTTTTATTTTCCATACAGAGTAGATTTAAGGAAAGTTAGTCATGAGTCAGTGATACTTTAGTCCAGTTGGTGTTTTAGGACCAAATATATTTTTGTGTCTCAATTGATTCTTTTGATGCTTACTAATGGAATTACCAAGAAATGTTGTTCAGACACTGCAGAAGCTCTGAAAATACTTACATTGTGCTGAAGATAATGCTTATCAGAAGACCAATGACACTTCTGGGACCAAGGACCAAAAACTACTGACATTTTTTTAGCTAAATAATTTCCAAATTCAGAGATCGCTGTTGCTGGCAGATTGGTGGAAAAAGTATATGTAATTTCAGTTGTTGAGTACCTCTTGTTTGAAAATGCTATTTGTTAATCTTCGCCAAATTTTGCCATGTATACTGATTTTTATAAAAACTTTGTGTATCTTTCATTTTGTTTATTATCATAATTACACTTGCTGCTAACATAGCATTGTGAACAGGGATACTATCTAATTATTTCTGTCTTTTCTCTGTCATATTTATCCATCAGAGAAGCAGGCCCTAATTGTAACAAAAATGAATTCTAATGTTGACTTTTGTGGATAGAGTATCCAGATTTTTAGTTACCTTTAAATTCAAATGGGTAATTTTCATTTTAAAGTTTGAAAATATCATCCAATAAACCTAGCTAATTAGCCGGAATGACTTGGAGCTACAGCTGTTAGTTGAAGATTTGGGAGTGTAGCCCCAGAAACCTGGATCAAGCCACCTGTTTTTCTGAAATTTCTTTAGTAACATTATATATGGAGTGTAATATGTTTTTGTCTCATGTGTCCTAGCTTTAGTGCTGTTGGTGTTTCATTTTTTTCCATTCTCATTAAGTTACACTGCCTAGAGAAGCCTGTAGGCAACAACATTCATGAATATGAAAAGTCAGGAAAACATCTTTTTGTTAGAATTCTTGTATGAATGAAAATAAATTAAGTTGGGCATATCTAGTTGATCAAAGTTGTTGATGTCTACTTTCCAGAGAAAATATATTCAGAAGTATTAGTCTTGCAAGCTATAATCAGTTAAGAGTACAGAGTACACAAGTTGGAGGAAACAGCTTATTAATACGGAAGTAGCAATTCTAATATCAAAGATATATGCTTCCTCTTACTACTATTTTGCTAGGGGAAAGAGCTATTCTCAGTTTGCTGACAACATGAACAAATAGTAGAGTTGTGGTATAGGACAAACATATGAATGTTCCTGGTAATCAAATGTTTAATTTAGTTAACTCTATTCTTAACTTTCATTACAAACTGAACTAGATTTTTTTTTTTTCCTACTTAAGTCAGATAATTTGTATTTTCCTCATAAGCCCAGCTTCTTTCTGACTGAATGTCTTGTAGATGTCATTGAATTCTGAGTATCAATCTTGAAATTTTGATCCTTGTTGAGCTCATATCAGAGATCCTCTAGAGTCTTTGTCAGCCCATGGAGAATAGCTGATAATGTATTGTAAAAGGTTCTTTCTAGTTGCATTTGCAGACTGGAAAAAGGGGAACATAACCCCCATTTTTAAAAAGGGTAACAAGGAAGACCCGGGGAACTACAGGCC